CCACCGTCGTCGTCGTCCAGATCGTCGTCGTCGTCGTCGTCGTCGTCGACACCACTACTACCACCCTATTTAACCTCCACTGCCGTCACCGTCGTTATTGCCGCGCGTTACATCCACGCACACGCACGCACGCGACAACACGCGATACACGCAACTTAGTAAATAGCCGTGTGCATTCGCGAATGTGTTGGCGGATAGGCGACAGACCTCGTATGCACCGATAGGGGCAGAGGGTAGCAAAGATTATCCCTTCAGCAACGAGGAAAACTCAATTTTCGTGAAATCTAATGATCGGTCACCCCGCACGAAATTAATCGGTTTTCGCAAACTCTGCGATCGGCAGCTTTCGGAACCTACTATTCTTTCGACCGTTCGGTTTTTCGCGAAGAGGTTGTAGAACACGAGGTTCGCATTGAAATTCGATGTAGACGAAATTAATCGGTTTAACTCCGCGATCGGAACCGACTATTCTTCCGACCGTTTTTCCGCGAAGAGGTTGTAAAACACGTTCGCATTAAAATTCGATGTAGACGAAGACGTTCTAGAGAGGCAAACGTTAGGAAACGAGTTGGTTAATACCGATACAAACGACGAGAAGGTGACGCGGTGATAAAGTCACCCCTTTCGACGACACGCGCGTTTGAAAAAAGGGGCACGTTCCTCCGGCGAAATTGACCGGACAATTTTAAAGCCCACTTAAGACCGCGAAAAATTGCCGTATCGTCGGTGCATGAATAAAAATTAAGTCCTCCGCTTTCGAAAACGAGCTCGCGAAAAAGAGGAGAAAAGACGGTACTCCCGAATTCATAGTGACGCTTCTCGTTTTTCTGTCGACGTTAGGTCGTTTCCGGTTCTCTTTGCCGACGATGACCTCCTGACTGAGACGCTTCTCGTTTCGCTATCAACCCTCTCCCCTCGGCACCATCTTTTTCCCTTCCTCCTACTTTTAATTCGCTAATTTCACCCAGTTAAGAATTTATACGACGGAATGTCTCGCCAGACGTCTCGAGAAAAATCAAAGCGGCGCAGCGGAAAGAACGGCGCCAACCCTTTATCACAAACGACGCGAAATGAAAGATTAAACAAAAGCAACGTTTTATACGCCCGGAGAAGGGTGTGGGCTAACGTAAATCGCGTCTCGTTTGTGTCGAGTAATTTCTGCTTTTTCTCCGAAATAATAATCGTTACCGTTTCGAACGAAATTTATAATTATAACGCGTTCCGTTGATTGTTTTCTCGTTCTAGCGATTGATCGATCGAACGAACCAACGAACGAACGCGATACCCACCCGTTCGGTACAGCTTACTTAATTAATTCGCGTAATATGAGCTAATCAACTCTGCCGTAGCAGTACCGTAAATATTTTAACGACCGATATTAATCCTAATATTAGTTTGTGCATGGTCATCGTAAATTATTCGCGTATCAAAATTATGCGATTCGGTACGCGCAAAGGGTTTTTGGAGTCCGCAGACCGCATCTACTAGGCTTCGAACGGATGAAGTTTTAAAAATCGCGCTTCAGGGTTGTTCTCTATAAAAGAGAAGGTCGAGACGTGCAGGAATCGAGGATACTAACGGTCAGAAAGTTGGCCGATAGCGAAGAGAAAGGCAATTAAACCGTTAAAAGGTAAAAGGTAAAGATAATTAAAAGTTGAAGACACCGTATGGCCTGCCAGAAAATTAACCTAGTCATGCCGCATATGCATAGGTTATCGACCAACGAGTCTATTCTAATTTTCTATGAACCCTTTCACGGCGTTGCATTTTTTCCATGAGGGTTAATTTGAATAGGGTCGCTGGCCCTACAACGCCATACACGATGGGATGGTTCGGCGATACGCCTACGCTTTTTTCAACCTCCGCTCTTCTTTTTTTCTTGCCTTCCTTTTCGGCTCTTGAGGGTCGTCATTGTTTTTTCTCCGCTTAGGAGTTGATCGCAACGTAGTCTACGAAAAAGCCACGTCATTTTTTAAGGTCACCTTTCAACGATCGCACGCGCT